CCTCCACCCACTGCCAACTGAAGCCCAGCCATTCCCCAGGGCTCCGGCGATGCCGTGCCGGCTCCGGCCTCCCTGGACATGCGGTCAGCTTGGCCAAGACAAATGTTGAATCTTTTTTTTTTTTTTTTGGAAATAAACTAAAGCCCTAGAATTGTTGGTGTTTTTACAACTCTAGTGTGGTTCCCGCCTGTCTGGCCTTGTGTCAACCTTTGTAACGTTGGCAATAATCCATTAAAAGTGACTTTCCCGCGTGCCCTGCCCGCGCCGGCTCTGTGTGTCCACGCGCGTTGCAGCGGGGGACGGAGGGCAGCGCTGGGGGGCCACAGGGCCACGCGTTGCTCTGTGGCTTCCACTTCCCACAACTCATCCCCAGCGCACAAGGGCCAGAGCAGAGCCCGGCACAAAGCACACGTTCCCTCCATGGTTGTTACAGCTTTAATGTGATTGATTTTATATATATATATATATATAATCTATATGCATGTATTTAAATATATTTCTTATTTAACAGTTAGCATCAGTCAGACAGGAACTGCCTGTCTTGCAGGGATACAGAACCGCATGGCCCCACGGATCCCGATGTGGGGCCCCCACACACGCCTGCTCACGCGCAGGCACTGGGAAATCCTCCCTGCGTATCCTCCCAGCACCACGGAGCACCCGGGCTCGTCTCTGCTGCTCCACGGGGGCACCCCACGGGACCCCTCCGCTTCCCAACGGCCTCAGGCCAAGTCCAGTGTTCAGCCACCTCTATAGCAGCATCTCAGTGCCTTGAGACCCAGGGCTCCACAGCGGTGCTGGTGCCCCCTCCTCTTCCTCCAGCAGGACAGGGATCTCCTGGAGGGAGGTGCTCCCCACCGAGCCCAGGAAGGACACCCGGAAAGGGAAAGCTTCCTGAACTTGATCCTACTCCATCCCCACAACCCGCAATGCCAGCGGCAGCAGCATGGGACAGAGCCTGCTTCTCCCTTCAAATACACCTGTCAGCTCAGTCCCCAGGGCCACTGTGGTGTCTTGCACCTTTAGGGTCAGGGCCTGGTCATCAACACCATGGAGCTCTCTAGAGATCCTGCTGACCTGGATACGCTTACAGGAAATAAAAAATCAAGAAAACTACACATAGCCTGATCCACAGTGAAACTGAAAAGGAGGAACCACGAAACTTGACTCCTCCATAAAGATTGCCCTAGAGTGCTAAAAACAGTGGTCTGTGGAGAAAAGTACCCTGCATCAGGCTTCTCCAACAGGCCCTCTTCTCCCACTCAGAAATTTTGTCTGGGTGGAAGGAGGAACGTGTGCATCTGTTGGGGATTTCTGGATGCCTGGCAGACCAATGCACTCATGCAGACTCGATGCAGTACAGACCTGACGTGTTGTGGAGTTAGGAGGTAGGGTCAAATGGAGAAGAAAAGCACCCTGACACTGCTGGCCATCAGCACATTGCTCTTGTGACCGTGGCCAGGCAAGGGTACCGAGGTCCACTCAAGCTCCTACCTGTGCCATGCCCTGGATCTAAAAGCACCAACGTATCTTCTCCGAGCAACTTGGTCCCTTGGTTAAACAGTAAACAGCAGGGAAACCTCTCTCTGCAACCCAGCTACTAGACACAAAGAGCAACTGGGCTGCAAGGGAGAGGCAGTTAGTGTGCAAGGGAAGCAGGAACAAGAGGGAAAAAATGAGAGAAAAAACAGAAGACAGTAACAGCTCAGCCAGGACACTGACATTGGCAGGGACACGGTGAGAAACGCTTCCAGGGAGCAGTGCGGGGAGGTTTTGGGACACAAACAGTGGGTACTTGTGGCCCAGGCAGCTGTAGGGAGGGCACCTCCTGGTGAGGGTCCCCACGTGTCCTGCTGAGCACTGAGCTGCAACGAGAGCCACCTCAGTGTGACAACCGCGGCAACAGGAGGGGGAGGCCAAGGTCCGCAGAGAGGTTTAGCTTTGCCACGCATGAAGACCCAGAAGCAGAAAGGAGAGGAGGGCGTGTGAGAGGAACCACAAATTACTGCCACCCTAGAGGCGGCCATGTAAAGTGAGAGCGTAGGGGAGGGGTGGTGGGAAAAGCAAGCTTGGACGGTGCTGTTAAAGCACATATCTCCACTGGCACTAGGAACCGGTCTTGGCCTGTATTGGTCATCTATGAAAACATCTTGGAGAAGGACATAACAGGAAAGGAAGGGGATTTAGTCTCTGTTAGGGATGCCTTGGATAGGTTGGCAACTGGCACATCAGAGGCTCCAGCGACAACAACATGCGGGTGAGAAGAGTTCTGGTGTCTGATCTTCCCATAAAGTGCCCTATGCTCACCAGACACCCAGGGCTCCTCCAGCCAGCCCAGTGCCAAACCTGACAACTTCTGTCGGACATGAAGCCCACTGCAGCCACTCTTTTTCCATGAGGTTCACCAGTTTCTTTAGCCATCTGAGCAAAATCAGGAGCACAGCCATTAAAAAAAAAATAATTACCAGGTCATTTCCTGGGCAAGCTCTGGAAGTGTGGGATAGATGAGTGCACAGAGAAGTGGATTAGGAACTGGCTGGATGGCAGGGGCCAGAGAGTGGTGATCAGCGGTGCAGAGTCTAGTTGGAGGCCTGTAGCTA